TTAATCACCTGTTCCAAATGCTTCTTATGGTAATCTATACGATCTTGATCATCTAAATCCTCGCCGCTGGTTGCGAAACCATTTTCTGTTATAAAGATCTCCATGTTTCCATACTGTTTCTTCAACCAAGATATGAGCTTTCGGAAACCTTCCGGGTACACCTGGAACACGAGTTAGTTGCTTTTTTATTGTTTCAATCACCACTTGGCTGTCTACATTACTCTTCAATAAACACGTATGACGTACGATCAGTTTCCAAAGACAGTGTTCAGCCTCAATGAGTCTTACAACTGTATATAGTAACAACAACACTCACATAGAACCAGCTGGAGCCAGCTTGCGGCCATTCTGGTCTCACTGATATTATTACATCAATGTCTGGTCCACCGAAGAGAGGCCAAGGACCAACAGCTTCCCCTCGGGCGAGGCGAGCAGTTCGTGATGTGTAGTAGTTCAAACCGTACAAGTCATACGTGCCTTTGGAAAATTCAATCAAAGAAACTTTGAAAGGGACGCCTATTGCTATTTATATAGCTTTCTTATAACCTTAATTATAATCCTTAATAGAAATTCTTAGTTTTGTTATCATTTTATATAACGATTAGACTATTTATATTTTATTCTCACCTCTTATTAGTTTTTTTTCTTCTTTTGTGAATTCTGGTAATCTGGATTTCCTGAATCCTTGTTGTTTACTCTTTTCTGCTATGAGTTTTTCTATTTTCTTCGGCCAACCGCCTTCCTTAGAGTAGATTGGGTGTGAGTACAGTCCTCCCTGAAATTATACGACAGTAAATAAATATTTTCAATCATTTGAATTAAACTTCAAAAGTATTTAGTAACACTATTATTTTTGGACACTTTTTGTTATTTTATTCACCATTAACTGTAGAGCCAGTTCAGCCGCTTCTCATTCATTTTCATCTTCTCCCTCAAACCACATGACTTGATTGGTGATGGACACTTAGCCTTTAAAATATAATGTAATACATTTGCATATGTATGCAGAACTAATTCAGAAGAACCTAGAGATTTTATTAATTAACAAAAAATCAAGTACCTAAAGTATTTTTTATAAATTCATATAATTCTTTTACCTTTATATTTTCGTCTAAACTCCTTGTCATATATCCGCCATGCTTTAGCGTGTGCCAACATTGTGTTCTTGCTGCAAATATAATTTCCAACTCCAGTGCTAACTATTCCTGGAGCGTGAAGACCAAAAGTGTAAGCAACGTCACAAAACGTCAGCGGTTCATTGAGAGTGATCCAAGTTTTGACTCGGTCAGCGTATAGAGTGAACACAACACGAGCGTAGTCCGCAAACCAATCTGATATTAAAGGATTGGTCCAGCCGCTTGTGAATTATAACTTGGGCTAACAAACATTTCATAACTATCTGCCCAGCGGACTTCATACTGCCTTATGATAAAGAAATATTTGTAACCTTTTTATCTGAATGAAGTTAATTTCCTTATTCCTCAATGAAGTTTTGGCTGGTTCAACCTAATAAAGATTAATCACTCAGTTTCCACTTTTACATACTTATCAACAGCATATTGGTGACAGAGACGCTAACATATTAAGATGTGATTGACCTTAACTTCTCCAACCATAAGCCTGTATGGATAGTAATTCATTTAATTAACTTTTTTTTTTAGTTACAGAACCTAAAAACATTTTTTTTGTGATAAAATTGTATAAATTACTTAAAGCTATGATAAACATTAAAAACTTAAATTTCTTATTTACCTGTAACTGGATTTATCATCTTCATTAAAAATAATACCCATCTTCACCTTTCCAAATAAAATAAAATATATTTATATATGTTCGATGTGTTTCGGACACATGCTGCAGTTGATTGTTACACCAGTGTAAAACAATATTGCTGTTATCCACATTTTCACCCACAATGACAATAGCGACTTTATCAATTCTTTGGGCATTAAAATGTCTTATGTGTTTTTTATAACAATTTTGTGATTATCAGATGGCATGTGATCTAATGCGGTCTTAAATAATGCAACCAATTATTGGTTGTGGTGATGGAATAATAATTGGAGCTGTTCCACAACTGGTCTTTTCACAGAATAGTTGTGTGCACAACACTGATCAACTTGTCTTCCTGAATCGCCCATGAAATTAATTTGGAAAAATTTTTGGTCACTGACCGGCACTGGTAATAACTAATAAGTTCAATGATATATTTGTCCTTGAATCTGCAAAGGTAAACATTCCTGTATTACATATACATATTGTAAAGTGAATTGTTCAGACCACCAAGTGACACTCAAAATACTTTGTGAGCACTACCACTTCCCCCCTAAACTTTTTTAACACAATTCCTTCTGGCTACGAAAAGTAATTCACAGAGCTACAAATGTACTTTAAGCCATTTCAAATGATACATCATTACAATTGATAACTGTCAACAATAGTGGTAAATGTACCTTGCCTTAAAACTACACTTACCTTAAAAGTTGGCATAAAATATATTGTACTGTTGACCATTTCTGTTATAATCAAATGCAGCTCTATAGCGGTTAAAAGCAACACTTCTATATTGTTGGTTTCGTTTCCATCGATTCCGTTCAAATTCATTCTGCGTTTCACGTTGTTCATCAGTTAGACTTGCTCTTCTATATCTAATATCTTTGACTTGAGGCATTACGGCTTCTGCGACTTAAGTTTGTACGTCTAATTGCCGGCATGTTTTGAAACAAAAATTCCACTGAAAAGAAAAAATACTATTATTCTATTCCTATTTTTTTGTAATAGTATCAAAATGGTCTATCAAAACTTTCCAACACTATAAAAATTTTACTTTACCTTGTTGGACAAACACTTCAGAAAAAAAACACACGTTACAAATTATCTTGTAGAAACCTGAATGTGAAAGTTACACTAAGAAATGGTAAATGAATTATGTAGGTATTTTGTTATTATAACTCCGGCCACAAATAGTGAAACTGAATATGTACTCGTACAAAACCACACACAAAAAAAAAAAAAAAATTTACTGTTTTGCAAACAATTTCGAAGAATAACTGATTTCTGAACTTTTAAGACAGAGACAATAGTTTATCATAGACTAATAACACAAACGACAAGCTCAGCTTATGTATGGTTCATTTAAAAGTAAGTAATTTTAATCATGTAAAATGTAAATCATAAATATTAACAAAAAAAATCAATTCTATTTTCATTCAGTGCTTTGTGATAAACGATGTTTTTTGTTTGATTACCTGGCGCATAGACAAACAAATCTGATGGTTATTATAATATTTTGTGACTATTCAATTGGTCGGGTCCGCGATCACTTTTTTTGGTTTCTGAACGCGACATTAAATGCTCCAACGACGTATTCTGTATTCCAACGCACACGGTTTTGATAGATATGATTGAATTTGAACTTTGTGTAGCGGTAAGAAAGTGCAAATTTAGGAATTTTGACTTTAGGAAAACACCTGCATTTCTTAGATAACAGTGAGAGCTTGTAATCGAATATGATAATTGAACATAATAGCAATAAAGCTCAAATTGATTCGACGTTTTAGTTAGAAAACGTTTGTATGTGAGAAGGAAAAGGGTTGTTTTTAGGGTTTTCCCGGAAATTATTAGATTTTTTCTCGCCGAAAGAACCATCCTTGGACTTCAAGGAACATTTAAAAAAAAGAATTGGCCAAATTGGTCCAGGCGTTGTTGAGTTATGCGCTTACCAAGACATTTTGCCATTCATTTTTATATTATAGAAGATATATTTAATTTTTATTGTTAAATGACTATTTTATTGTGGTGTACACTAAAGTACATTATTACATTAGGTATGTAATTTTCTTAATAACATTATTTAATGTTCACTCTATAAGCAGCATCTTCAAACCCTTTTATTGTATGAGGTTTTACACAACATACTAATCTTTCCTGTGAACAACACGAGGTGGCGCCATTAGCGGCATGGGTCGAGTAGTGGATATGATTGATTGAATATGGAAATAAAACTACACAGGGTTTTAATAAAGTTCAACACTTAGATGTATTACTTAATAAAAACACAAAGAATACATCCACAATAACTATAATTCATTTCAATTCAACAATAACAATATTCTATATGATAAATGAGGTTTATATAAACATTATAAATGAAAACAGTTCAAGGTACATTATAACAAAAACTTTCAGTGGTATAATAAATACTATTCCATTAAAAACTAATTATTGTAGAGGAAAAAGTATGATAAGCATAATTAGTACATCCAGAAAAAAAACATTTAAGATTTCTTATGTTTTATCAGATTTTAAATAACAATAAAACATTAGAAAAGTACATCAAATAGTGACTAGTGAATAGTTGACTGGGTTTAACAAAATACTATGGACCAAAAGATATTACATATAAAACTTGTACTGTTAAAGATATTGTTTGTCAAGTCTAAATTCAATGTAAAGGATTGAAGTCGCAGATAAGTTGTAGATCGGCTGCTAGGCCGACTGTGGGTGGTTACGCGGGTACATTAGGGGCCTAGGGTACCTGAGAAGTTTCCGGCCTAAATCACACTCGTTCGAAAAACCCAGTGCTGTATTACGCCTTTATTTAGCCATTGGTTACCCAAGCGTTGGTTTCCAGAGATGCAGCAGGGTTGAGAGCAGACTCACGGACTTTTTTGGGAAAAAAACTTATCTTGGTAAAATTATGAGTAACAAAGAAACAAAGCAAGAATTTATAAGATACTGTGTGCAAATCACACAAATGGCTAACAGAAGAAACAAGTAATACAATAATGTAAAATAGCAAATAAGAGTATCGAAAAAATGAAGGAATGAAGAAATAAATTTGAATATACATAAATACGTAGTTGGGGAGGATCAAGGAGGATGCAATGAAGAGCCCTTCTGTAATATATGACTGCACCTCCTTTGGCTGAAAAACGGTGGTTCCTAATGATGTTATAGTTCCCAATCCGTGGGTTTCTACTCTAAGAAGGACTCTTATACTAGGCGTACAACACTAGGAGTGACATTGCCCCGGGGCGAGGCGGTTTAACGGTGGCTCTATTGTCAGTCCGAATAACTGACATACTGAGGCTATATTGAATATCTCTTTACCTTCCCTGGTAAGCGACAGGGGGACTAGCACCATATCGAATGGTTTTTTTGTTTGGCTTGTGCATACGATGCACCTCTAAAACTGGCAGGTTTTGGGACTTAAGGTCCTCTTTTATTTCATCAATGGGAATCTCCGCGGGGAGACCCTTGATGACGACTGTTAGCCTACGCTCCTCCGGGAGGGCGTAGGTGTGGTATTCTAATTTTTGTAGTCTTAGCATCGCGGATAACGCGCGATGGTCGTTCGGTGTGGCCGCGGTGACCTTAATTCCCGCCTGTGCGTTACGTGCCGACACGTATTTTATCTTTTTGTCGTTTAGGAGGCTGGATATGGAGTTCCAGCTCTTGTTAGTTCGAATGTATAACGGCGGCGGGTATTTAGTGAATGTTTTGGGTGCGGACCCAGGTAGACCCGCAGGAGCGGACACAGGTGTACCCGCAGGTGCGGACACAGGTGTGTCCGCAGGTGCGTGCGCAGCTGCACCGGCAGCTGCTGGGGTCAACGGTTTTTTGGTTGGCGGCGGCGCCTTTAGTGACTTGGCCGCCTTCCTCTTACCAGATTTGGTAAGGACGGGTTTGAACCCGTCGTTTTCCTCTTCTGCGTCCGAGGAGGACGGCGTCGAGTCTGTCTCGGCTTCCGAGCCGATTGGTGAGCAATCCATGCGACATGGATTGCTTTTTGGACAGTCCGGTGAAGCCGGGCTGTCCGTATCGAAATTGGTGGGTTTTATTTCGGGGTTCACCTCGGTGAACTCCCTGTACGCATCTGGGAATTTTTTTATGAAGAAAGCTAGTAGGGCCTCTAATCGGCCCGAATTATGGTCGCCCATGATGGGCGACGGACTTATGGGGAGTCCTCCCTGCAAGGCAGGGAGGTGTGTAACCTATTTGATTCTAATCTAGACCCTGTTATTAGGTAACAGGGGTGAACCTACTTCCCTAAAAACTAACGACTGTGTAAATACCTTATGAGGGTGGCAGGACAACGGCGACTAAACGACGGTAACTGCTACCCTTTTCTTGATACTTCTATCGACGCCGGACACGTCGATCTTCTGACCTCTTCTGTAACTTGATGACACGTAACACAAACACCATCGGAACACTGATTACGCACGTCTGCGCCGTGCGAATGCCCAACTGAGAGTCCGCTGGTTGCGAAACCATTTTCTGTTATAAAGATCTCCATGTTTCCATACTGTTTCTTCAACCAAGATATGAGCTTTCGAAAACCTTCCGGGTACACCTGGAACACGAGTTAGTTGCTTTTTTATTAATTCAATCACCACTTGGCTGTCTACATTACTCTTCAATAAACAAGTATGACGTAGGATCAGTTTCCAAAGACAGTGTTCAGCCTCAATGAGTCTTACAACTGTATACAGGGTGACTGGTGAATTACTATCAATATTTAAGGAGCATACTCGGTACATGATTCTCATTCGAATTATGTAAAAAAAATAGGCACTTAATTTTTGACCAAATTTCCGTATAAATAAATAAAGCGTGGATACGTTCCAAGTGTTCCAAGTGTGGACGCGTGCGGCGGCGTACTGATACAACAACACGCCGCCAAACGCGTATGTGTGTGTGTGAGTGTATACCTAATCTGTAGGGTGTGCACACGATGCGTAATTAATTACATAACTTTTGGTTAACTTTACTTAGAAGTTTATTAATATTTATGTTATATTAATTTTTATTTTGTCATATATGATCGTCAAATATGACGTCCTCAAATATCGATAGTAATTCACCAGTCACCCTGTATAGTAACAACAACACTCACATAGAACCAGCTGAAGCCAGCTTGCGGCCATTTTGGTCTCACTGATATTATTACATCAATGTCTGGTCCACCGAAGAGAGGCCAAGGACCAACAGCTTCCCCTCGGGCGAGGCGAGCAGTTCGTGATGTGTAGTAGTTCAAACCGTACAAGACATACATGCCTTTGAAAAATTCAATAAAAAAGCTTTGAAGGGACGCCTATTGCTATTTATATGGCTTTCTTATAACTTTACTTATAAATTATAATTATTAATAGAAAATCTTAGTTTTGGTATTAATTTATGTAACGATTAGACTATTTATATTTTATTCTCACCTCTTATTAGTTTCTTTTCTTCTTTTGTGAATTCTGGTAATCTGGATTTCCTGAATCCCTGTTGTTTACTCTTTTCTGCTATGAGTTTTTCTATTTTCTTCGGCCAACCGCCTTCCTTAGAGTAGATTGGGTGTGAGTACAGTCCTCCCTGAAATTATATGACAGTAAATGAACATTTTCAATCATTTGAATTAAACTTCAAAAGTATTTAGTAACACTATTATTTTTGTTTAGCTTTTCTGTTTTCACCATTAACTGTAGAGCCAGTTCAGCCGCTTCTCCTTCATTTTCATCATCTCCCTCAAACCACATGACTTGATTGGTGATGGACACTTTGCCTTTAAAATATAATGTAATACATTTGCATATGTATGCAAAATTAATTCAGAAGAACTTAGAGATTTTATTAATTAACAAAAAATCAAGTACCTAAAGTATTTTTTATAAAATCATATAATTCTTTTACCTTTATATTTTTGTCTAAACTCCTTTTCATATATCCGCCATGCTTTAGCGTGTGCCAACATTGTGTTCTTGCTGCAGATATAATTTCCAACTCCAGTGCTAACTATTCCTGGAGCGTGAACTCCAAAAGTGTAAGCAACGTCACAAAACGTCAGCGGTTCATTGAGAGTGATCCAAGTTTTGACTCGGTCAGCGTAGAGAGTGAACACAACACGAGCGTAGTCCGCAAACCAATCTGATATTAAAGGATTGGTCCAGCCGCCTGTGAATTATAACTTGGGCTAACAAACATTTTATATAATGCTACAAACTTGTGTGGAATGCCCTGAAAGGTGAGGATTCTTATTGATGGACATTTAATTGACAAGATTTACTTAAGGTTCCTGATTTATAAGATTAGAACTCATTAATATTTATTCATCAATATGATTTGCCGTTCAAAGGTTTTCGTTTAAAGAAATCATTTACAAAGAACATGTTGTTACTGAAAAATATTAATTTAAATGGGTTCTTCAGTTTTATCATGAAAGATGAACTTTTTGAACTTATATAATTAAAATTTATAATAAAGTATTTTGAAAACAAATGTTTTGTTTTATTATTTATTCTATTTGATATAGTGAAGAAGCAATGCATTTGTATTAAATACTTTTTCCAATCTCTGAAACTCACCAAGATCTTGTAAATTTTGTGCCAAATCCCAGTGATATATTACAACGACAGGCTCGATTCCTCTCTTCAATAAAGCATCTGTAAAGTTAGACTAATATTCCGTAATAAATTATTTACTAACCAACTATAATTATTATTATATATGAAAAGTTAATATTCAATCGAAAGGGATCGCGTATTGGTACATTTTTTCCAAGTTGCTTGGAGCGTTCTCCCACTGACCATTCGTGTCATACATCTGGATGGCACTTTTAATAATGGAAACAATATACCATACAACATCATGTCTACAACATATATTTATTTTCATTAGACCTAGAGGGTAATGGCATTTTTTAAAATGCGCTAGCTAATTTTAAAGCGCGTTGTGCTAATAGAGCTCACGGTTCCTTTGGAAGCCAACATTTCGAAAGACTATGTGATCAAGGTCGACAAGTATTACAAGCTCACTAAAAAACTCACTAAGAATAGGTTCGTGGTAAATTTGTATCCTATAGAAGTGCAGAGAGAGGTATGACAGCCAATTCTCTCTACATCCTACTAAAAGACTTGAGAGTGTTCTGAACTAATATCAGTTCATTGCAACGTGCGTTGAAGGCAGCCCTAGTAGGTTCGTTTCAATTTTGGTTAGGTTTTGAGAGGAGCTTGGACGGTGTGAGTATATTCATATCAATAGACGCATCGTTTTCCCTAGTGGCTCTCGGCTCTCAAAGGCTTGTATGTAGTAGGTCTGTCAACCGCAGCATCGACTCATACTGAGACGCTTCCTGAACGATGTTTAACATCTATTTAGGAAAACCATATGTTTGTTCTATACATATAATTAAACAATGTATATTTCAATATTTTACCTTATACATAGATATAGCTTCATCTGTGTCTGTATCTATATCTGTATATAAATGTGTTCAGCCTTTCTAAAGCGCCCTTCCTGTCGTAATTGTTGAGCGAGTGTCAGTAAATATCTGTCTGTCTTCTTCTGCCAGATGTGTAGCGGCAACACGTAGACCTTCCGACACTGCCCGCGGCGTTGTACGCTCTTACACATTTCTCCGCCATGCCACAGGATATGAGAACTCGTTCCGCTGTATCCCATTCCTGTAAATGTTTGCAAAAATAGATAAATATAATTAATGAATATTAATTGACATATGAAACCTACTAGAATAAAATAAAAATCGACCAAAACCTTGAATTCAAAAAATTGAATAAATTGATCGTGAAGTTAAACCCGCGTATAAAAGAAGAAATGAATAATTGAAAACATATTAGTTTACACCCTTAGTGGATGTTTACATTTATATTTTTGTAACTATACACAATAACTAATAAGGAATGAACAAAATCGAATTACGTTAATAACAATTATAAAAAAAAAATAGAAACATATTTCTTTTGTTCATTATTTAAAATAACTTACTTGAGAAGATATAAAATGATCACCCAACTGTTCACTTTGCTCCCGAATAGATTCTTTATCTTCTATAACCTAAAGATATCAATGGATTGATTTACAAAAAATATATATAAAAAAACAAAACCTTTATTTATATATTATTGGAATCTCGGTATCGGCTCAAACGATGGCGATAAATCGATCTAGCTAGGAATAATTATCATCATTAATCATTTAGAAAATGTTATTTTACGTAAAAAGAATAACAAAAATTGTCGTTTAAAATATGACTCTCCTGACATCTAGTGGCGAATAGTGATACTACTTTATGCTACTTGCTTTTACTAATTGCTTTAACGACACAACAGCAGATGGCGTTGTTAAGTATCAGGAAGTCAATGAATGTTTGTTTTAAGGTTAGACTAAGAAATTAATTGTTGATTTATATTGTTTTCTGTCTTCTTACCGTTCTGAACTGCTTGCACATATTAATGGCCAATTCTGGCTGAGCGGCTCCACGTACGTAGTATTCTTCGGCGGTGGTTAAGTCCCCCACAAATATTGCTAGACGTGCACGAACCTCGGGACTCTTTAAACCTATGCATTATATTATAATCACGATTAATAAAATAAATAAATTTTACTTTCTAGTTGTTTGTTCTTCATGCACTGTATTTAAACTAAAATGTATTTAAACCAAAATGTTAACTTTGTGATTACATGCACTCTGTTAATATTTCAGCAAGAAGTGGTTGCCAGTAACTGAGGTAGCACATAGCATCTTAATTGTATTAATTTAAAAATTTGTATTTGTGTATACTTTGTTGGCGATCCAATAAATAAATAAATGAATACTATTAATACAATAAGTGCGTCCAAAAAAAAAAAACTTGATACATGAGGTGTACCCAAATCGTGTAAATGCAAAAAATACCTTCATCATTACTCCCGTTCCCTTTGGCTGAAGCTAACTCGACAGTTTTCTTTAGATAAAATATTCTAGCCTCATCACCTACTGCTTTATAGCATTTCGTCGCCAACTGAAAAAAAGATATATCTCTTATGAGGTACTAAAACGTTTAAATGTTATAACATATATTAGTCCTTCTCTAATTTGAGCAGTGAGGAATATACCACCACCACTGAATGGCTAACACTTAACCAAACATAACTGTTGTTATGTAATTAAATAATGTATGTAAACATAACTGTTGTTATGTCAATGTAAAGGAAGTTATCATAAGTTTGAAGTCGAATAATATTTTTTATTTTATTACGTTTAAATTGAAATGCACATTATTTATTTTCAAACCATAATTTTAAGAGATCTTTAAACTGCTTTAATTTTTACATAACTAGTTAAAGCGCTTTATGTAGGAAATAATAATATTGGGGTGTTCAACGTAATATTGACAAAGTTGTCATCATAGATAAAACACTATATTAGAAATTGGTTGTCATAAGGTCATAATGTCATACTACTTTGCATTCAATATTTTCATTCTCTATGTTGATACTTTTTAAGTAGTGGATAAATTCTGTGAGTGGACGGATGGATTGAGGACAAAACCCAGTAAATGTCCTTGTCTGTGTCTTGGTAGGCGGAATACAAGATACACCTCATACGATCCGGGACTATCGTTAGGCGGTTAATGAATTTCTACGGTTACGGAAAATGCACCATTTAAATTTCTCGGTAGTAAGATTGATAATATAGGCCGTACTCCATCTTTAGAAGGGTTAGTAGATAGCTTTTTGAACGACCTTAACAAGGTAGACAGCCAACTGATCAGTAACGTTAAAAAAGCGTGGATCTACGATAATTACTTAACTTCACGTTTGAACTGGCCTTTCCTCGTCTATGATTTTAATAAAACCCTTTTGTCAAAGTTGGATGCAGGCGTCATAAAGATGTTGAAGTTGTTGCTCGGGCTCGCGCTAACGGCTGATTCATCGGCGTTATTTAGGGGAAGCAATAGTTTTGGGATGAGTCTAAAAAGGCCATCGGAGCTCTATAAACACTTAAGAGTTTCCAAGAGATATATCCTGGGGAAATCCCATGATGACGTAGTGACATCGCTCCCAAAAGATGAAGATGCCCCCGAGCTAGAGTCACGACTACAATTCCATAAGCAATTTATGATAGGAGCACAAAGTAACAGAGTGGGATTAGGATCAAATAGGAAAGTCCAAGATGCGGATATATTGAAGTATTATAATTCGGCAAGACGAGAATGATAAATATAAGATCCATGCAATGAATTTAGAAATGCAGAACGAGTGGTTAGACATAGGAGATTTTTGCATCCCATTAGCATGAAAATGGCGCACTTTAATTTATGATTGGTCGCCAGCATTGCTAAAATTCTATCTCAATGCGTTCCAGATGACTCTACCAGTTCAGAGTAATTTAGTAAGATGGGGAAAAGTACCGAAAAAACTTGCTATATCTGTGGAAAGGCAGTTGGAACTGCTAAGCATCTGCTGGTGGGATGTAAGGTACTCCTGGACAGCGGTCAATACTCGCGTCGTCACGATAGGGTTCTAGAAGTGAAGCGGTTAGTCTTTCGGTAGCCAGAGCGCAAAAGGAAATAACCACAAACGAACGATCAGTAGGTTTTGTGAGAGAAGGCACTAGGGTTACAAAATCAAACGTCAAGCCTTACTCCATCCTTAAAGCGGCGTCGGATTGGACTATAATGATGGACACGTATGAAAAACAATATAAAATCCCCGAGGATATTTGTGCGTCGGCCTCCAGACCGGATATATTTTTGTTTTCGTGAATTTTAAAACGCGTAGTGATGATAGAGCTTACGGTCCCTTGGGAAACCAACATCCCCAAAGACCATACCATCAAGGTCAACAAATATTACGAGCTCACAAACGAACTCACTCGAAATAGGTTCGTAGTAGATTTGTACGCGGTAGAGGTGGGAGCGAGAGGTATAACAGCGAAATCTACAACCTACTAAAGGACCTGGGCTTGTCCAGAACTCACATTAATGCATTCTTGGAACGTACATCGAAGGCAGCCATAGTAGGTTCTTATCAAATTTGGTTAGGTAGGGAGAGGAGCTTGGACAGTGGAGGTGAGCGTATAACGCGCGTTAGTTAAGGGGCCCCTTAAGCCTACACTTGGGTCGCAAGTCCCAGGCACTGTTGAAGCTCCTCTCCCTGCAACGCGATGGACCCGGCACCCGCACGGTGAATCCATAGAATGATGAGTAGTTTCGTCTCTGTTTTTTGCCCGCGACTTCGTCGTCATTAGTAATATATGTATAGCTGACCGGGCGAACTCTATCCCGTCCTAAATAACCAGTTATTGGTATTTATTAAATTTTTCCTGTTTCAATCGAACAGAATGGTTGAAATAGAAAAGGGCTGATTTTAGAGTTTTCCCGGAAATGAATCATTTTTTTTCAGCTTTTAGAACTTATCTGAACCTCCACGAACATTTCAAGAATAAGATAAGATAAATCCGTTCAGCCGTTCTCGAGTTTTAGTGCGACTAACGAACAGCAATTCATTTTTATATATATATAAAATGTAAATATTTTTTTTTTTAATTGATTTACATATGTACTATCTTTCATTTATTTATGTAATCATTTTGACGTGTCGGAAGCGTTCAGTTAATGTAATAAAAATAAAAGTATTGAATAAATAAACTCAAAAAATATTCACCCATACGTTAAATAATAACAGAATAATATTAAATATTCAACAGTACATACCGTCACACTACTATCGTACATCAGCTACATACACTTCTCTTCATAGAAGGTTTCCTCTCGTCCGCAGACCACGTCCTAACAGACGCTCCACCAACAGATTCGACCCTCATCTTGAATTATATATTCTCACGAGTCCTGGAACGTTACAAACAATACTATTTCATATAAAGACTATCCACTTCATAATAAATTATTATTGTTCATATTAAAGATGGCACATATTTTAGGATGTGGTCAAAGATTAACAAAAAGTTAAAATAAAAATAGTAATGATTTAAACCAAACTATCAAAATAATAAGTCTTCGCAAAATATAGCGTTTAGAAAATAATAATTTTCTTAAGACTGCGGTCTTCTACAAAGATTTGTTTGGATATCATTAACTTTACTTATCTTTATATTTTGAAACAAACATATATTTCATGATCGATGGACAGACCATGTAGTGAAAACATACGACGGTAGTGAAACTATGAGTACTTTGATTGAGGAAGATGTTTCTGTAGGAGAGCTCTAAATTGTTTTAAATAAATTAAAATTAATTATTTTTCTATGTATACGTACATTCCAGGAGGTTCTTTGATATCAATAGACACATCAAACACGTACTGTAAATGTTTATAGTGAACACACTCCTTATATTGTCTGGAGACTGCTACAGTTGATACTTCAAGTCTTCTCTATTCTAATATGTTACACTAACCGAGTCATTCTCCTCTTCATATAATTCTATGTTTCATCAATACTTGGTTCATTGTTAGTTTTCATCTAACACTTGATGATCAGCCGTCATCTCCTGATGGATGAATCTCAAGTACAGTCCAATAACACCATCTGTAATACATAATACAATATAGTTCTTATATAAAGACATACAAAGACACTTACTTCAATTATTGTCGGTTTAAAATAAATTATTAAATGTTTAAAAAAATTACAAAAACACTCGCTTATAAAGTGACAGACTAAAAGTAGCATATTTTTAATTATTCAAAATAAAACTAGAATGAAAAAAAGAGATTCGTTCAGTGTTTAAGTTCGTGGAGTGCTAGATATTTCTATTCCATTGATTATGTCATACAAGGCGAGTGTACACTTTGGGTACATGTGAGCAATTCCATTCACTTTAGGCTAAAACACATGAACGTACTCTTTTCCCAGTGTGTACACTACACTCGCCTCATATTATGATTAGATATCTGTAAGGGTACCGTTATATTAAAAAGATATGTGGTACTTTTATAACTAGCTTTCCGACCGCAGCTTCGCCCAAGAGAACTTTTCAAAAGTCTGCAATAAAAACTATCCCATGTTCTTTGTCAAGGTCAACTCCATCTCTGTACCAAATTTCATTAAAATCAGTTCAGTTGTTCAGGTGTGAAAGCGTAACAGACAGACAGACAGACAGAGTTACTTTCGCATTTATAATATTAGTAGGGATAAATTGCTTCCATTTATAACTCTATCCTTTTTTGTGTTATTAAACAAATATCAACTTTATAATTTAGTATTTTATAACAGTGTTTATTTATTATTTTTCAAATCCCTACTAATATTATAAATAGGAAAGTAACTGTATGTCTGTTAAGTTTTAATTCCTAAGCCGTTGAACCGTTCGTGATGAATTTTAGTATGTATATAAATGAAGCCCAGGAAAATGACTTCGGCTACTTTTTATCCCGATTATCCGATTACATAACGATTACCCGATCCCGAAAATTTACGGGTTGAACCATGAAGTGGAAGCAGTTCAGGTTCAGTGGCCTTAGTGACAGAGAACAACTGTGATGTACACGCAGACGGAGCCGCGGGCAGCAGCTAGTTATTATTATAATTATTATTATTTATTTCTGACAGTAAGTAACAAACATACAAAATAACATACAAGTGATGCTAAGAAAAAAGAAATAGAAATATTTTTAGCAAACCGGAAAGCTGTAACGTATATACATATGTGTTTCAAATAGTCAAGTAGCAATATGAAGATACTTAAAATATTTAATATTTTTAATGATGTTACATTTCAGGTCTCCATTAAAATATTTTATCTAATATAAATCTTTTAATAATTGACTTACTATTTTTTATTTATTTATTAAATCATTATGACGTATCGAAAGCGAATGGTAACTGAATAGTTAATGTAATAAAAATAAAAGTATTGAATTAATGAACATAAAAAAATATTCACCCTTACTATAAATAATAACAGAATAATATTAAATATTCAACAGTACATACCGTCACACTACTATCGTACATCAGCTACATACACTTCTCTTCATAGAAGGTTTCCTCTCGTCCGCAGACCACGTCCTAACAGACGCTCCACCAACAGCTTCGACCCTCATCTTGAATTATATATTCTCACGAGTCCTGGAACGTTACAAATAATACTATTTCATATAAAGATAATCCACTTCATTATAAATTTTTATTGTTCATATTAAAGATAGCACATATTTTAGGATGTGGTCAAAGATTAACAACACAATAGTTAAAATGAAAATAGTTATGAATTAAACCAAACTGTCAAATTAATAAGCCTTCGCCACATATAGCGTTTAGAAAATAATAATTTTCTTAAGACTGCGGTCTTCTACAAAGATTTGTTTGGATATCATTAACTTTACTTATCTTTATATTTTGAAACAAACATATATTTCATGATCGATGGACAGACCATGTAGTGAAAACATACGACGGTAGTGAAACTATGAGTACTTTGATTGAGGAAGATGTTTCTGTAGGAGAGCTCTAAATTGTTTTAAATAAATTAAAATTAATTATTTTTCTATGTATACGTACATTCCAGGAGGTTCTTTGATATCAATAGACACATCAAACACGTACTGTACATGTTTATAGTGAACACACTCCTTATATTGTCTGGAGACTGCTACAGTTGATACTTCAAGTCTTCTCTATTCTAATATGTTACACTAACCGAGTCATTCTCCTCTTCATATAATTCTATGTTTCATCAATACTTGGTTCATTGTTAGTTTTCATCTAACACTTGATGATCAGCCGTCATCTCCTGATGGATGAATCTCAAGTACAGTCCAATAACACCATCTGTAAAACATAATACAATATTGTTCTTATATGTATAGAGACATACAAAGACACTTACTTCAATTATTGTCGGTTTAAAATAAATTATTAAATGTTTAAAAAAATTACAAAAACACTCGCTTATAAAATGACAGACTAAAAGTAGCATATTTTTAATTATTCAAAATAAAACTAGAATGAAAAAAAAGAGATTCGTTCAGTGTTTAAGTTCGTGGAGTGCTAGATATTTCTATTCCATTGATTATGTCATACAAGGCGAGTGTACACTTTGGGTACATGTGAGCAATTCCATTCACTTTAGGCTAAAACACATGAACGTACTCTTTTCCCAGTGTGTACACTACACTCGCCTCATATTATGATTAGATATCTGTAAGGGTACCGTTATATTAAAAAGATATGTGGTACTTTTATAACTAGCTTT